AAAAACCGACATCAACTACTTGAACAACGATGTTGTCATGACCTCGTTAATTGAATTATAGAGTTGGGTATTATAGCATTGGACGTGCACTAATAAAATATTTATACACCTGAATTAGAGCCGTTAGTCTCACTTGATGACAATAAAACTATTTACTACGGATGAATCCAAAATGAATTTAAATGCGGGGGGGAGGGGTGGGGTGGAAGTAAAATATGATGTATAGTATATGGCATGGAAATGCGAGGCAACGAAAAAAGTAAAGTAACCAAAAAGAAATACTTGCTACGCTTAATGGGTCGTTCTGTTTCACCTTCGCCGCTGGTTGCGGTTACCGCGGTACGATCGCACTCCTTCTCGTAGACGCGCTGGCGCTTAAGGTACAGCTTAGCCAAGGGGTTCATGTCGATGGCCGTCTCGTCGTAGAAGGGCGAGCGCGCGTCCACCGGCCAAGTCGTCGTTATCCGCCTGATCACGTCCTGCGGATCGGTCTTTGCGTCTTCCGCCTACATGTATACATGCATACGTGTTACATCATATACATCGCGGGAAAGTGTATTTTGCGCGTGTATACCTCGTAGGTGACCCCGTCGTCCGTGCCCGCGTCGACCGGGTAGAGGTTGAGCTCCTTGTTCTCGATCCAGGAGCAATTGGTCAGGCAGAGCTCGAGCCCGGACACCCCGATGAACCAGTCGGGCGAAGGATCTCGAGTTTTTTTTTTTTTTTTTTAATCAAATATACTTACACACTCGTATTTATGATCATAAAAAATGGATGATAAACAAACAAACAAACAAACAAGATTTGCACGGACTAAACACGCGGGCTTACCTATCATGGAGACGAGGGACACGAGGTGGTGCTGCTGGTCGACCCGGAACATCGCGAAGGTCCTGCTCGTTATGTTGGGAAAGTTGATGCCCCGTGCCTTTATTATGGTCCTTATGTGTTGGCTCTTTTGGGTGATTGATCATCGTGTAAGTATACAAGTATGTATACTTTTATTGAAAAAAAAAAAAAAAAAAAAAAAAAAAAAAAAAAAAATGTGTATATAAATAGACCTGGTTCTTGAGCTCGGACTCGAGGACGCGGGTGACGCCGGTCTCGGCGACCTGTTTGAGACCCTCGCTGGCGGTGCCACCGTACTCCCAGAACCGGTACTCGGAGGTGTGCGAGGCCCCGATGACGTCGGAAAAACGCGCGCTGTACGGCTTCCGGGGAAAATCCTTGGGATGGGTGTAACGGGACCAGAGGCCCTCGAAGGCGAGCTCGTACTTGGCCTCGTCGCAGGCGCAGCACTCCGGCAACACGGGACCCGGG